TATATAAAGTATAAGCCTAACTGGGAAAATAACATATACTTATTAGTACCCAGAATGTCTAGAAACACACAATTAGCAGTGAAGACAGTTTCAGATTGAATTTAAAAGCATATTTATGGTCAGGCTGTAGAAATATTTTAGAACTTAGACATTGGACTTGCTAAAAGTCAACTTCTTCTGAAAAAGAGCTAAGAACATGCACCTAGCAAACTGCAGATGATTGTGAACAGAAACCCAGTGTGGGTGAAGGTACTGGGGAGAATCATACACTGTTCTACATGCGTCAGTTTGGTTTTGCTCATTTGTATTTACAGTCACTCCTAAAAACGGTCTGTCCTAGCTTAACGACTGCAACAGAGATAAAATACTCACCAAAAGCAAAGTCAGGGAGGAAAAGGCTTATTTTGACTTATAGATCATTGTCCCTCATTGAGGGAAGTCAGGGCAGGAGCTCAAAGCAGGAACCCAAGCAGAGACCCTGGAGAAAAAGCTGCTTGCTGACTTGCTCTTCATGGCTTGCTCAGCCTGCTTCCTTATAGCACCCAGGAGCACCTGCCAAGGAATGTTGTACAACTTACATTGTACTGGGCCCTCCTGCATGAACTGTTAACCAAGAAAATGCCCTCACAGACTTACCTACAGGCCATTCCTCAAATGCAATTCCTTTTTTCCATGTGACCCTAGCTTGTGCCACATTGACAAAAACTGATAAGCATGATGCCCTATTCTTGTTAGCTTGATTAAAATAGATCTAATAATTCTTTTATGGATAATGTTATATTTTTCTTAAAGTCAAGAAGAAGATTTCATGAAAGTGAAATAAAAATTATCAGTGGGAACTTGTTGTAGAATAAATGTCTTGCTTTATATAAGAATGCAGGAAGAAGAAGGGGCCCTTTCATCTGCCTGAGGAACTTCATTATGAAAGATGTCTCTGTGTGTGTGTGTGTGTATACACATATATATCTGGCACACTTTGGTTCTGGGGGTTATAGGATGGTACAACAAGAGAAAAAGCAATCCTTCTTTCCACATCGAGGAGAGGAAACTAACAGTTTAATCAGGAACTGAAAAAAACATCCAGGAATTAACCATTTTTAACTCTAGGATCAGTGCCAAAGCCGGAGCTTCCCTCTCTTTGTTTTGCTTTCATGCTAGTACCATATGTATGTTGACAATGGTAACTTGACTACTGAAACTGACAAATGTTCTATTTCTAGAAGAACTCTAGTCTGTCGTGACTGCTCTTTTCACAGCATGGGTAGAATCACAGAACAGATTTCTAGTTTTCCTCAAGAATTACATTTTACTCCGTCACAGTTATAACCCTGAACTTGGTCTGAACTTCTTGATTATATACAAAATGTATACGAAACTTCCATTGATGATTTGATTATATGTGTCTATGTGAGTACGTATACATTTAACCTATTGTTTATTATTGAATAGGAATCCACTGTGAAGAAGACATGGATGAATGTCTGCCAAACCCTTGCCAAAACGGTGGTACTTGTGAGAATCTGCCTGGGAATTACACCTGCCATTGCCCCTTTGATGACCTTTCTAGGACATTTTATGGAGGAGAAGACTGTTCGGAAGTTCTCCTAGGCTGCCATCATCACCAGTGTCTCAACAACGGAAAATGCATCCCTCACTTTGAAAATGACCAGCATGGATTCACCTGCCAGTGTCCTCCTGGCTATGCGGGGCCCCTGTGTGAAGCTGACACCACACTTTCTTTTGAGAGCAACAGTTTCCTGTGGCTCACAAGTGGCCCACATCCAACCACACAGCCAGAATGTAACATATCCTTGCGGTTTCAGACTGTTCAACCAAACTCACTTCTTCTTTACCGAGGCAACACAGATATGTCTATGAAGCTGGAGTTGCTAAGTGGCTGTGTTCACTTATCAATCCAAGTCCAGAACCAGACAACGGTGATTCTATATATTCCCCACAACACTAGTGATGGAGAATGGCATTTGGTAGAAGTAACATTTGCAGAAACTATAACCCTAGCCCTGATTGGCAGCTCCTGCATGGGGCAGTGCACCAGTGAGACTTCTTTCCCAGTAGAGAATCATCAATTGCTATGCGCTTTTCAGAATGCTTTTTTGGGGGGCTTACCAGTGGGAGCAGCCAGCAACAGTGTGTCTGTGCTTAACATCTATAATGCGCCCTCCACACCTCCCTTTGTAGGCTGTCTCCAAGATATTAAATTTGATTTGAATCACATTACTCTGGAGAACATTTCGTCTAGCTTGTCACTGAACGTCAAAGCAGGCTGCATGAGGAAGGACTGGTGTGAAAGTCAACCTTGTCAAAACAGAGGACGCTGCATCAACTTGTGGCAGGGTTATCAGTGTGAATGTGACAGGCCCTATGCAGGCTCCAACTGCCTGAGAGGTGAGAGGGTTTGGGGTGCCCTGGAGCACTGTGCCTCAGAGCAGAGCCAGCTCAGAAATGCCCAGGCAGTGACATCTTGTTACAAAACACAAGGAGCCCTCAGGACCTGTGCCGATGCTTGCTCACTAAGAGACAAAAGGAGACAGCAGTGACATGGAATAATTAGGAGGTTTCGGGGGACAGCTAAGCTTTACTTGGGCTGAAAAGTAAAATAGTAACAATAGAAATAATAATTTACAATAAGCTAATAGCTCCTATTGAAATGGCATTTCATCCAGTTGGTAAAATGCCCTTAGAGCTTTGCCATTTGTTGTATATCACAAATGTATGGGGAATCTTATTTGAATAAGATGTGATCTTTCTGGAGAAATGGGAGCTTGAGACACAAAATATTAGAGCCACATAGTAGTACTGATCCTGTGCTTGGCAGCGTCTTGGTGAACATCCATTTCCTTGCTTCCTCTCTGTGCAATTTTTATTCTTTAAGAATCATTCTTCTGATTGACAAACCTTCAGTTCTATTGAACAGTGCCTCTTCCAAAGTCTTACTGTGCAGAGCAGGTAGACATCTTCAGGAGAGACGGAAAGAAGGCACGAAATGTATTATCAGTAAAATCCAGGAGTTAGTATGTACAAATCGACCCTATTCCTCTAGCATATCAGTTTGAAGTGTATTTCAAATCCTTTACTTCCAGCACCATGCCAAAGACTGCCACAGATAGCAGCCAATACATATCTGCTCACTTTTATTAGTATTATCATCATCATCATCATCATCATCATCATCATCATCATCATCATGCATTGAGAGGTCTGAGGGGGGAGCCCTAACCGACTGCTTTGAAGTTCGGCTGCAATTTACTCTAACATTTCAGAATAAGTCCAAGTAGGGCGGCATCTGGTAAATGGTCTTCTCTGTGTTATATGAAGTCAAATGAAAACCAGCCGTAGCCTGTCCCCTACTCCATGTTCAATGGCTAAGAGTTATTAGAAACCCTTCGCGGGTTTGCCCCTCACCTCAATATTCATTACAATCACGGACCTGTTGGGCAATGAGGCATGGCATGTGATGCGCTACGTAATATTTTAAACGGCATGGCACGTTGTTTTGCGATTCTTTTTCAAGGAGAAAAGGTGAAATTATGCCGAGGAAATGGTCCACTTTTTGAAGAAAAATCTAATTGACCCAAGGCAATATTTTTAGTACATATACAAAATAACAAACAGATGCGGGCTCATTTTGACTGGCTTCCAGATGCGGTGACCCGTGAGGTTAACGCTGACCGTGGGCACGCTGACTGTCCAAGGAAACAGACTCGAGAGATGCCAATCCAGTGGGTTCTGGTTTTCTTTATCTTTTCATTCTAACTTGGAAAATGATGAACTTTTAAAACCAAATTCCTGATTTGGCTACACTCTCCATGTTTCCCGTAGTATGATTACACCCCTCTCCTCACACTGAATGTGATTATATCCTCTATTCTCGTACTATTTGAAACTGTTTAACCCTGTGTTCGGCATCAAAAAGATTATAGCGCAGGAATTTCACAAAACCAATTCTTTCTGGAAGTTTTTGAGAAAAGTTTAAAGGGAAGTATATTTTTCATATCATCTCTGAACCATGAAGTTAAAATATTTTTTATTTGCTAAAATCTATGAGGGAATGTTTTCTGTATTTTCTTTCTTTCACACAGACACACAAAAATGCTTACGAGCACAAATGAGAACTTAGAGTCTATCTGCTATATGAGATGCACTAAACATCTGGTGAGCGAGCCCCCCAAATTATGAATTTTCAAGATTTATTTTACTGTTTTATTTTCTGTGTATGTGTGTGGGTCTGGGTATGTACTTATAGGTACCACATTAGTGCAGGTGCCTGTTGAGGTCTGAAGATTCCTTGCAACAGGAGTTAAATATGGTTTTGAACTTCCTGGTGCAGGTACTGGGGACCAAACATGGGTCCTCTACAAGGGCAGCAAGTGTTCTTAACCATAGGAGCCACCTCTCCACTCTCCAAATAATGATTTTGGAACAATGTTTACCACTGGCAAATACAATGAAAGAAGAAGACAGGCTGGGTAGAGGGTTTGCTTCTCTGGGTAACACACAAAATGGAAAGAGTGACAATATCTTGAAGCTGAGCCAAAAATCATGTATGCCCCACTAGGGAGTTTTGAGAAGGTTTGCATGGGACCCTGACCTGCCGGAAGTGTTAACATCATATGTATTATGTTATGTGTCAGAACAGGGATTCTGGGATGTTGTTCTGTAGGAGTGTATCACACACCTCTTGCTTTATTTGGAAAGTATCTATTTTTAAAAAGCAATATGTAGCTATCTACCTTCCTCTTTTAGGTTTGACAGGGCTTCATTCAGTAGTTAAATTTCTTATGCAAACCTCTGCTTTGAATCTACTTTAGGAACACAGAACTCACCATTCCATCTCTCCCTAAATTTCCAAGCAGGTATTTCTTTCCATTTATCAGGGCTGTGATTTACCCAAAGCTTGCATTTTCTCACACAGTTTTCATGCGGGGGAGGTGTTCTCACTTAAGGATTATCATCTCTTCTTGGAGATTCCCAAATATTTGAAGAAAAGTATTTCATACCCAGCAACCACTCCCATCATCCAACACATAGTACTTTCCTCTAGTGCCTCTAAGTGACATGGCGTTGAGACTTCATCAGCTGCTTACTCTTTTTGCCTTTGCTTCTTTCTAAATGTGCTTGGTGACACAGAGTCATGGGTCCATAACTTTCATCGTTCTATAATATACCATCATTGGCCATATTAGCATCGTATTAACTGTGTGGCACATTGTTTACACATTGTCTTTTGTCAGTCATTATCATTTGTGAGGCTGTGGAGTCCTCTTTTTACCACCCTAAACTGATGAGTCACGTTTAAATACAAATGCCTCCTCTTTACTCATTAAATTTCATCCTACAATCGTCAATCATTAAAATTTGTCAAATCATTTTTTCATCCATACATCTTTAGAACATGTCAGCAAGATGTATCACATCTTCCATGCCCATAGTCAAGTCCTACCTCTGTGGCTTACGGTATTTCTAAAATCCTGTAGCACATCACACACTCTGACTACCTGCGTGTGATTTCTGAAGAATAGGATTACTGGAGAGTCAAGTTTCTAAGGAAAAAAAGAAACCCATTTCTGCATCCTTTCTTTTATTCTGGCCCACAAAGTGATGCTGCAGGCATCCTAGGATGGCCAGCAGGGGCCTGGCCCCCTGAGCTTGAGGGATTTTTGTGCCTATCCTCAAAACTGCAGGGCTTCAAGAGCCCAATTTTCTTATTAAGCATTTTATCCTATACAAAAGTGCCACAGTGTGTTCAGAGATGTTAACCTCTTCAAAGAGGTTATTTTATCTGACAGTACCTTTGAAAGCTACCTGTAGTTGCCTGAAGCAGGTGGTGTCCAAATGCAGATTCACAATGCAGCGTTCCTATAGGAATCAAGTCAGAGTTCTGACAACGTAGCCTTTTGTGCAGAAGGTCTTCAAACACAGATGGTTGTCTAAGCAAGATTCACTGTGGTTCAGCTAAAGTAAAATATGTCTTACTTTCGCACAAACCTCAATTTGTGATGATATCTAACCATGATAGGATAGGATCTTTTTTTCCCCTGGTTACAACTGAGATGTGAAAACCCAAAGCAGCAATATCTTTATGACAGCACTGTTGTCAAGCTCAGCAATAATTTCTGCATTGCAAATTCAATAGTCAACTCTCGGCCCTTCTCATACTTGACCTCAGTTAGTAACACCCTTCTAAGATCTCAACTGCCTTGTCTCTTACTACCTGGGGTGCCTTCCCCAAACTGAGCTTGCTAATATTATTGTTGATCTTCGTCACTATACAGAGCAGTTCAGCTTCATGACACGTCTGCTTAAGCAGCAACCACCTGGGCAGTGTAGCGCGGAGTTGTATGACGTGCTCATACCCACATCTTTTTCTTACCCAGATGAAGCTCAGAGGTGTCTAATGATTCATTGATTGGATTTTAGAGAGGTGATGGGAATCCTTTTTAGTTGATCATTGCAGAAACTTTATTTTTTACCTTTGTAACTGATGGGCCTCTATGATAACCCAAAATGTAGTGATTTTTAGTACAAACTTAGAAGCTCACAAAATGAGGCAACCTTGCCATCCTATTGTAACATAGCCTGTCCAGAACTTGAGAAAGAGTCTGGTTGTGTATGCCTATGACAGTTTGGTCTCCTATCCTGTTTTACATTTAAATATAAAGATTTTTTTCTTTCTTTCTCTTTGCCTATTTTGACATTGAAGAGTATGTAGCAGGCAGATTTGGCCAGGATGACTTCCCGGGATATGCCATCTTCAATCTTGATGATAATTATGGACAGAACTTCAGCCTCTCCATGTTTGTGAGAACACGTCAACCATCAGGCTTCCTTCTAGCTTTGGGGAACAATTCTTACCAGTATGCGAGTGTCTGGCTAGAACATGGCAGCCTAGTACTGCAGACTCCAGGCCTTCCCAAGTTAGTACTGACATTTTTTCTTAGTGACGGAAATGCCCACTTAATATCCTTGAAAATCAAACCAAATGAAGTTGAACTGTATCAGTCTTCACAAAACGTAGGATTCATTTCGGTTCCTGCATGGACAATTCAAAAAGGAGACGCCATCTTCATTGGTGGCCTACCTGACAGGCAAGAGACTGAAGTGTATGGTGGCTTCTTCAAGGGCTGCATTCAAGATATAAGATTAAACAACCAAAACCTGGAATTCTTCCCCAACTCAACAAACAACAGATACCGTGATCCAGTTCTTGTCAATGTGACTCAAGGCTGTCCTGGAGACAATAACTGTAAGGTAAGGTCATTCATATTGGCTATACACATAGTGCATACTAAAATTATATTTATTAAATAATCTATTGTAACCATTCTGCTTTTGTTCTTGGTTTTTGAGACAGAAAACTCACTATGTACTTCAGGAAGGACTTGAGGTCACAGCTTTCCTTCTTCAAATTCTCAAATGTAGGTGGGGTTTACAGGGATATAGCCACACCCCTAGGCACCATTTTATACACGAACAAAATGCTGATCACCCACCAATCATGGAATATTTTTCATTTACATATCTCCAGGATGATTGGTAGAATTACAACAAACCATTAAATTGTGACATTGATCTTTATTGACATCATGAATATGTTATAGCCAACACAACTCCAGCCACATGCTTCTCCCTCTCCCCAAACGATCAACTTCCCTGAGAATAATAGTATTTTAAGCTAAAAATTCTTAATGGTATTCTATAGGCTTAGCTAAACCAATTCTTTTTAGAAGACCCCACTAAATTTAATGACACTGCCCAGCTTCTTCTATTAATTAATAACAAAGTCTCAGTTTCCCCTTGTCAGCTGTTTTTTTCTTTTTATTTATTTATTTTATTTATATTTTGTTTTATTTATTTATTTATTTATTAAAGATTTTTGTCTCTTCCCCACCGCCGCCTCCCCTTTCTCTCCCCCTCCCCCAATCAAGTCCCCCTCCTCATCAGCCCAAAGATCAATCAGGGTTCCCTGCCCTGTGGGAAGTCCAAGGACCACCCTCCTCCATCCAGGTCTAGTAAGGTGAGCATCCAAACTGCCTAGGCTCCCACAAAGCCAGTATGTGCAGTAGGATCAAAAACCTGTTGCCATTGTTCTTGAGGTCTCAGTAGTCCTCACTGTCCACTATGTTCAGCGAGACCTGTTTTATCCCAGGCCTTTTCAGACCCAGGCCAGCTGGCCTTGGTGAGTTCCCTATAGGACATCCCCATTGTCTCAGTGTGTGGGTGCACCCCTCGCGGTCCTGAGTTCCTTGCTCGTGCTCTCTCTCCTTCTGCTCCTGATTTGGACCTTGAGATTTCAGTCCGGTGCTCCAATGTGGGTCTCTGTCTCTGTCTCCTTTCATCGCCTGATGAAGGTTAATATTCAGGAGGATGCCTATGGCAGCTGGTTTTCAAATCCTTTGATATATAATTTCTTTTTTCTTTTTTTAATTTATTTATTTCTTTATTTGATATATAATTTTTCAGAGCCAGTGCTTTCCTTCAAACATTTTTCATGTCTTCTAAATAATTTTACGTATGTGAGATGTTTAGCTTTTCATGACCTTTTGGAGGAAAAGAAGGAACCACACCGACATAACTCGCGCATCCATGAACCCCAAAAATTACAGTGTACAAGATTCAATTTTAAATATACATGAATGAACCCCCATAATGCTCTTATAGTAATGCTTTTCTCATAATTGAAATGATTTCCTATGAATTAGTTAGCTTGGTTATATTGAAAGACTTCTATATGAAAGAAACAGTGTTATCTCATTTATATTTACAGATGAAGAAATTAAGGTTTATAAAATTATGTAATATTCTGGGGGATCGCTCAGTGGTAGAGTACATGCTTAGCAAGATTAAGGACTGTGTTCAATCTCTAGAAGTGTAAAGAAAGACGGGAGGGTAAGCAATTAAGCAAAGCCATTAAATGAAAGATCTTGGATAAACGCAGGGCAGGAGGTAAACAATTACTTTAAACATGTTTGTGTTTTGACTCCTCTCTGAGTGGCTTTGAGAACGGAGATAAGACTGTTGCAGATGCAGAGGCAAGACTAATGGGGAGGGAGATGTTACCGGGGACTTACAGGATTGAGGACCAGCTCTCACTACTTCACCTGGTTATTCGATCTTGAGCAACTAGAGGCATCCAGGTATAATAATCTTCATAAGCAGTGATAATAAGTGTGTGCACATGGCCGAGTAACTCATAAGTTATGGAGAACATCATTATATTTCAATAATCCTCCTTGTGCTACAGATCAGTTTATTATCTCTTCTCTGTCATTCTGTTGTTTTATCTTTTATCTCTCCCCCACCTCTGTCTATTGCTCTTTCCTCTGCTCTTTTAGTAAGCAATTGGAAATGGTAGTTGTCGGCTTTATTCAACGTTATTAACAATGTGCAAAACGTCTAAAATGCAAAGATGTAGGGGCATTGGCATTTTAAAGCAACCGATGATCTCACCTTTAACATTTCCATATTTCATTGCCATTGCTTTTTATCCCTTTGATTTTCTTTTTCTCTCAGTCCAACCCCTGTCATAATGGAGGTGTCTGCTATTCCCTGTGGGATGACTTCTCCTGTTCCTGCCCTACACACACGGCGGGGAAAGCCTGCGAGGAAGTTCAGTGGTGTCAACTCAGCCCATGTCCCCCCGGTGCACAGTGCCAGCTGGTTCCTCAAGGGTTTGAATGTAGGTAGCATTCACAGCTGTCGTCCATCCAATTTACTTGGTACATTTCAATTGTCCAAGCCAGAGACAGTGAAAAAAAAGAATTCAGGTTTAGACAACTTAGAGAAACGTGTGTGAGAAGTTTACAAAGCCAGGAGTGACCAATATCATGACCAGGATGATCTCTGTGATTCATGCTGGCCCGAGTTTCTGAGCGAGAAAAATGGGCCATTGCAGCAACAAACCCAGCTCTTTGATTATTTCAATCTAATTTGTGAAGAACTAAGCAAGTGATACCTGCCTTTGCTTTCTCGATACCAGGTGTATGCAGCAAATCCGTGCATCTGCCACACTGTGGTTCCTTGATTATGCACATGACCATCAAAACCTAAAGCCTCCTCACATCTAAGCAGGGAGAACAAGGCCTACCCCGCGTGTTTCTTGGTGTATGACTTATGTGTACAGTGTATGCATTAGGTACAGGCTCACTGCTTATAGTAACTGATCCCCCCCCTTCTGACTGGTTTTCCAATCTAAAGATCACAGTCATGACTCTGAGCTAAGTACTATGGTTTATGCATCGCCTTTTCCTTTAGGTCAAATAATTCACAGTCCAGATATAGACAATGCTCTGTGTTCAAATGAAATTTAAATCCCTTCTTGTTATTCAAAAATTGTGCTTTTAAAGGTATGCGCTAAAGTCTTATGGTCTCCCACAGCAATAGAAAAGTGCATTGGGAAGATGGAACCTAGTAAAGCAGTCTGACTAAGGCTCATAGTTTACCCTGAGTTTGCTTGATCTCCTGGTCATACACAATAAGTGTTCAAATAAGATTTGAAACTTGAAAACTCTCTCTAGTTAGAAGCATTATTTGTTGAAGCAAAGCTCCCCCAAGAAAAGGCGAGATCTAAAAGTGTACAGAGCATTTTCCCCAGATCACAAGAAGTGGTTTCACCTTCTCCAGCAGACTTGCTAAATTTGTAGATTTACAAAACGTGATAGACAGCAAAGAGATAATGAGTTTGGTTGTTTAAACATTGGTTTAAAAATACATGATGTTTGTTTATGTTCCTTCCCTCCCAAATTCCTTCCCCAAATCTGGTAAGGAAAATAATAAAATAAATTAACAGGGAAATTAAATGAGATATCTTTTAAATCTAGCCAAACCCTATATTCAAATTACAACACTCAAATTATTTCCTTTTTTTCTCCTGATGTGATATTTTGATCATTGTTGCACTTTCCAAAGTAAAAGGTGATGCTCAGTGGACATTTACTGAAGGCCAGGCACCAGTCTCAGGGAATGCCTGAGTAACCACTTCTAAAGGATACCTGGTCCACTACAGCTCATGCACTAGAGCAGAGTTAAGAAACAAAGAAAACCCAGTTTCAAATGGCAACAGGAGTTATGAAGTAAATCAGGAATAGACTAGAAGGATGAGACCAGGAAGACCTATTTTAACTTGGGTAGCAGGGGAAGGTGTCATTCCAGCAGACTGCAACACTGAGGGGGTACTGAGCATGGGCAGTTGGAGAAAGAAAACTCCAGGTTTAAATTACAGAGAGTATGAAGGGCCTGGGTTGGGACAAGCTCCTTCATTTTGTGACTGTGTCACGTGAACGAGGAAGAGAATGTTATGAACTAGAAGTAGATAAATAGGGGTCAGAGGGTGGAGTTTAGAACTTCCGTCCTGAACTAAGAAGCGGTTGTTAGAGTCCTCTGCAGCAACCACAGATGTAGGGAAACTAAGACGCCATCTTTTGTAGGACCAATGATGCTGGCTGGTATAGAACATGGCAAGGAAAGTCCCAACCGTGTTTTCAGGTCACTGCTACTGAAAAGGGAGAAGAGAAAATTGACCACTGGACTGAAATGGCAGAAGTCATTGGGACCTTGCCAGGAGCAATTTCAGTGAAGTGACAGACAGGGACAACGGTAGAGAAAACGGGAGATGAGAAAGTTGGAAGGCGTATACAAAGTAGTAAGTTTTTATGGTAACAGGAACGAAGAGGGCGGTCAGGGAAGCAGCGGTGTGGGTCCTGTGGGTCCCCATGTTAAATTTCCAGCCATCATAGCAGATTTTACTTTCATGGGAGAAAATGGCAAAAAGGGAAGGGAAATGTTAGTGCAGGGGTAAAATTTTGGGTGCACACAGAAAAATGACTAAAAATAGCAAAAATGAACGGTACCCTGCATGGGACTTGAAAGCCTGACCTCTGAAAGGAATCTGGACAGAGTGTCCGTCGTAATGCTGAGAAGAGGGCTGGCCAGGACACGATTCATTAGGCTGACAGGATTGGTAGAACGCTGAAGCACTTCTGTGTCTGCTTTTCCCTCAAGGCTGTGTTTAGGAGACTAGAAACACACATAGGGCTAGATATTTTAAGAGCTAGAACAAACTGTGGATTAATCATGCTGTAGCAATTCTAATAGAGAGATGCAGTAAGATTTTCAAAAGTGCTGTCTTCGGTGTAATACATGAATACAAAGTGCTCTTGTTTCCCCAACCACATGGAGTTACTTGGCTATAGGTAGCAAGTTGATATCTAGCCATATAATTGGAGGGTTTTTTTTTTGTTGTTGTTGTTTTGTTTTGTTTTGTTTTTGCAGCATAACTCAATCCATCATTGTGAATGTTTCTGCTAACTGCATGTGGGTGAACTTAATCAGAAGTCAGGGTCTATTGTTAACTAACTAGTGTGTCACCAAAACTACATTTGTGATGTCTGTGTGTTTAAATGAAAATGAAACAATAATTGACATTCCAGAAGATTTTATTTTTTTTATTTTTTTATTTTTTTTGTTATAGCTGAAAGTGGAGTTTAATGGTCAATTTTTCTTGATTAGAGTTTTAATTCTGACAGTTGCTAGATAAACAGTAATTTATTCTGTCTCAGTTCTCTGTTCTTTAAGACAGAGTGAAAAATGATAGTGATAACAATACTACCTCTTTCCCAGAATTGTTTCACTCAGACCATTTACATCTTCAGAGCATCATCGGTTAGTCAATAAGAAGAGCAGAAGTAGCTTCTACTCTCCGGGCTCTTAAAATGACTGGGACAACAAAGCATATACAGAAAAGAAACTTTATGCATTCATGTGGAAGTTCTGATTGTACGAAGTAAGCAGTTGATTTGCCAAATAAAGCTCAGAAAGTACTCGTGATTTGGTGGGCACTGTGGTATCTGAGAGAGAAATCTGACAAGAAGGACTCTCATTCTTACAGCTTTCAGCTTCTGGGGCTGTGGTAAGGTACCACGTCTTGGTGGAGAGTGGGTAGCAGAAAAGCCTATTGAACTCATGGAGCCAGAAAACAAAGTAGTGCATAGTTAGGGGCTTGGGTTCCAGCAAACCATTAGTGAGCATATTCTCAGTGAACTTATTTTATCTTCTGGATCCCACCTGGTAAGTGTCCCACAACTTCCCAACGGCACCGCAGTATAGGGACTAAGTCTTTTACCCATAGTCCTCTGAGGGGACATTTCAAACCCAAACTATAGTAACAAGAGACAGAAATGAGATTTCATATCGTTTATGTCTCTATTCTTTTGGCTATGTGTTTTTGTAGCAAGGGTAATCCTAACCAAACCAGGCCTTGAAGATGAGTGTATGGGCTTGATTCTTTGTGTTTTCCGCACGCTCTGTTAGCACAGTGAATCTGTCATGCTATGTTTTTATGCCAGAAGATTTTAAATGAAAAAAAAATGGTACGAGTTGAGTTTTCGTATTCTCATTGGCGGGTTTGACACCCTAGCTTTATATTTTAATGACCAAACTACTCACCTTCAGTGAATCTGCAGTTCTTCTCTTGTAAAGCAATGACAGAAAACAGCTATAACGGGCACAGTTAGAGAGCAACGAGCACAACACCTAATGTGTCAGTCATACAGACATCCGCCATGTGAGCACAACACCTAATGTGTCAGTCATACAGACATCCGCCATGTGAGCACAACACCTAATGTGTCAGTCATACAGACATCCGCCATGTGAGCACAACACCTAATGTGTCAGTCATACAGACACCCGCCATGTGAGGAGAAACACGAAGAATGAAGGTAACAGTTTCTCCTCTTCCCGCTCTAGGTATTGCAAATGCTGTTTTCGGTGGCTTGAGACAAGAAATACTGTTCCGAAGCAACGGGAACATTTCCAGAGAACTCACCAACATCACATTTGGCTTCAGAACACGTGACGCAAATGCAATGATACTGCATGCGGGAAAAGAGCCCGAGCTTCTCAATATTAGCATTCGAGACTCCAGATTATTATTTCAATTGCAGAGTGGCAACAGTTTTCATCTGCTACGTCTGATGAGTGTGCAGGTGGTGAATGATGGCACCTGGCACCAAGTGAAGTTTTCCATGATCGACCCCCTGGCCCAGACCTCCCGATGGCAACTGGAGGTGGACAACCAAACACCTCCTGTGACCAGCGCAATTGCTACCGGAAGCCTGAACTTTTTGAAGGACAGTACAGACATCTATGTGGGTGACCAAGCTATTAACAATACGGAAGGCCTGCAGGGCTGTCTGAGCACAATAGACATTGGAGGCATATATCTCTCTTACTTTGAAAATCTTCACAGTTTCACTAAAAAGCCTCAGGAAGAGCAGTTTCTCAAAGTCTCTACAAATGTGGTCCTTACCGGCTGCTTGCCATTAAATGCCTGCCACTCCAGCCCCTGTTTGCATGGAGGGAACTGTGAAGACCGCTACAGTTCCTATCGGTGCTCCTGTCTCTTGGGATGGTCAGGGACACGCTGTGAAATCAACATCGATGAATGCTTTTCTAATCCCTGTATCCATGGCAACTGCTCTGACGGAGTCGCAGCCTACCACTGTAGGTGTGAGCCTGGCTACACTGGTGTGAACTGTGAGGTGGACATGGACAATTGTGAGAGTCATCAGTGTGCAAACGGGGCCACGTGTGTCAGCGGAACTCATGGCTATTCTTGTCTCTGTCTTGGAAATTTTACGGGCAGATTTTGCAGGTGAGCACAAAGTCTATGCGGAGCTCAGTGTTTTGGGAGCTCTGCTCTGAATTTTCCTTGTCAGGCCAGAAATATCTCCCCTTTAAATGTCCACACGTGCTAAACAAGGCTGGCTTTGAGCACCTCTGTCACAATTGATCATGTAAAAATGTGATTATATTGTGAAATATTCCACAACTATGAATAGCAGCTTTTTAACCAGATAGTAAACACAATGTTTATATTGTATAACTTAAGATTTATAATACAGCTTAGTAAAGGAAATTTAGGGCATACACTAACACGTAGTCAGATGTTCTGTGGCCTTTCCATAATGCCTAGCATGCTGCTGAGAGCATATTCATTTAAGTCACCCATTTAAAAAGGCCCTCCTTTTTCTCAGATTGCAATAGTAATTGATTATTCTAGTGATCACTTCAATTTTATGCTATGCAGAAATTAAAAAAATAAGTTTTTCCTTCTAAGTCACATTGCTTTGGTGTTATTGTTATTATACAACATGCACTGCCTTCCATTTATTAAATAATTGAGTCATTGTAGGGAGGTGAGAGAGTTGTTATTAACCAATAATATATTCCAGGAGTTGGGCGAGAATAGCTGGAGTGGAGCAGCCTGTAGACATCACAGATTCAGAGGCATTACAGGCAGCCATGCCTATGAAAAGGTGTGTTATCTTCACAACACCTATTATTGTTCAGCGCTCTTGATGGCAAGGAGCAGTGAGAAGTGCTAAGTGCTTGGGTTATTCAATAGGTGCTGTTTTCTGTGAGTCAACAGATTCATTTGCCAATAAATAGCAGACCTGGTTAAAAGCAAGAGAAATTTGAGATCAAAATTAGGAGTCTTACACAGTGACCATGGATAAGAAAACATGTATGCCCTCCTAACAAGTTCTCTGATTTTTTTTTTCTTGTCTGATTCATCAAAGTCAAGTGTAAAGAATAAAGTTCTCAAGAGTCCCTTCTGATGAACTCTTCAGAAGCTGTTTATTAAGCTGAGGTGTGTATAAAACTGGAGGTTTGCATTGCTAATGACCTCTGTTAGAGCTATTGACATCCTTGACACTTTTGAAACGTCCTTATGATATTTTCTTTTTGAAGTAGAATTAATTAGCGCTTTTGAAAAGACACACCCTTATATCATCCTGCAGCTGGTTTCTCTGTGTTAGCTGCAGTACATGGCAGAACAAAAGTGAAGTTTCTTTCCAGTTTCTTCCCAGATAATTATTCTCTATCTGATCACACACACATCCATACACACACACACACGCACATGCATGCATGCACAGACACACATGCACACACAAACACATATGCACACACCCATGCATATACCCACACATCCACACACGCATGCACACATACGCACTCATGGATACACACATGCACACACACACACACACACACACACAAGGCCAAAGGACCTGAGCAACACTCGTAAAATCTGCTTAAAAATCAGCTCTTTCAAGCCTAAGTAAGGATTTTTTGTCTAGCAGTGTCGTCTTAGCTTTTAACAAGCCGTTCTTCCTTTTATGCGGATTCTTCAGCCCATTCAGCCTTGCTGCCGTACAAGGACTCGCACGCTGAACTCACACACAGTTAGTTACACTGAATACTATACACAAACCTCCTGGACAGCACTTGGCTTGCCCTATGCAAAGCTATGAATTATGAGGGCGGGAGCAGGCAAGTCTTGGCAGGGCAACTGTAGTTCAGCTCTGAAAGCCAACGGAGACATCGCATGAGTGCCTGAGCACCGGCGTGTTCTCCTTGCTTCCCTGGCCTTTGTAGAGATGCAATTTTCCTGTGGCCTCCGTTGATTTATTAGAAAAGCAGCTGCAGATCTAGCTCTGTGAGCTAGCCCTAAATTTACTGCCACCCCAGGCCATAGATCTTATCTCCTGCAGGACCGCTGGTGGAGAAGAGAAGATGGATGGCCATGTTGGTTGCAGAAGCCTCCAGCAGGGGCTTTTTGCTGGAGAACCTGGTGTTTGAACAACGCAGCAGCACGAGCGAGCATTTGTTGTTCCTCCAGCCTCGGGACTTAATTAGCCTAACACTGACTACATATATGAACTTTTCAAAAATATTTTTTTTCTTGAATGAAATGAATGAGATGAACAGCTGTGGCCATTCCTTTTATCTCTCTAGACAGAGCCGATTACCCTCAGCAGTCTGTGGGAACGAGGAGACAAATCTCACTTGCTACAACGGAGGCAACTGCACTCAGGTCCAGGAGGACTGGAAATGTGTGTGCCGGCCAGGTTTCACTGGAGAGGGGTGAGTCACACTAGAACTTCATGGGCAGGAGTTCTGGGCTAAAGAACAGTGGGATTGCCCAGAGTTCATCTGCTCCTCCAATTTTTCATTTCAGTTCCCACAGGAAAATCTATGTTGAAATATAGGTCCAGACAGAATTTAAGCAACAGAAAAGAAGAAAAATGACAGTGTAGGTCAAAGTATAGAATATTTTACAAGCTGAGACTTCAAATAGGAAAATATGATTTTTTAATATATATAATGTTTTATTATTCTTTCCTATAAGTACCTTCTGGATTCCTGGAGTCCTCCGCTCCCCAGACTAACTCTAACATATGATTTCAAAATATGGTTACTTTTAAGGTAAAATAAAACACATCTAAAAGATGCCTCATATGATAAACTACATTCTAAAGTGTATGTACCCCTTCCAGGGAACTATTCCTTGCACAGAGAATCCTTCAACTCTTCACTTAGAGTCTACCATTGGAATCAGACTGTGACCAGCTTGGATGCAAGCAAAGTTGTGTATGCATTTGACTGGTTGGAGTGTGGGCAAGGGGAGAAAAGAACATTCTCCCTACTTTGATTAGGTCTCCAAAGAGGCAGGGGCAGTGGTGGCACACACCTTTAATCTATCTCAGCACTCAGGAGGCAGAGGCAGGGGGATCTCTGTGAGTTCAAGGCCAGCCTGGTCTACAAGAGCTAGTTCCAGCTAGGGCTGTTACAGAGAAACCCTGTCCCAAAAGACAAACAACAACAACAAAACAAAAACCAAAAACCAAACAACAACAAAAGATCTCCAAAGAGATATCCATCCCTCAGACAGATTACAAACCAGGAGTCTATGGGCACAGGTATTATGTACGCAGATAAAACATAGCCCCTAGTTTTTAAGACTAATCCATTTATCTTAAGATATTATCCCCACTTCTTTGAACTCTGTAAGCAAGGTTTTATTGTTTTCATTGTGTGTGTGTGTCTGTGTGTGAGTGACATTGATTGATGCTGAAATAAATGTACACAACAATGAGTTGAGCTGCCATCCAAGCGTGGACTTCTCTTGGGAACGCTGCCATGATTTCTTGAGTAAGTGTTTGCTCAGCACAATTTAAACAAAATATAAAATGTGCTCCTCCATCTTCTGTAGACTAGAATAAGGTACAACCAAGATCCATATACGTGTGTGGGAAAGGAAGGAGAGAAGTCACGTCCCTTTTCCAGTCTGTAACGCTATGACGTCAGCTATTAAGTCAGCATTCGGTTGACCTCTGCTTCCACATCTTCAGCATATTATAAACATATCTTTGTCCCAAATGTAGATAAGTCTTTGCTATATTTAAATGCTGGTTGCTCCCTGGCTTAATATTAGCCCCACTAACAGCACCGTGAGTAGGGTCCATCCAATACCCTGAATTTGTTGCTGTTAATATTTCTATCTCCTCTGATACCTATCAATTTTCAAATTCATACTTGTCATTTAAATGATTAAGATGGGGAAAGGGTCGCTAATTTTCGTTTCTTTCCTGGGAGGACTTTCATCCAACTAAACCTTACTAATGAAAAATGGTTTCAAACAGTGAATGTGTGTTTAATATTTTCTGATTCCCCCAACACATTGAGCATTATTAGTTAATTCAGGAGCACGGAATGATTTTTCTTTGACTTTCTTCTTTGTTTGTTTTGCTCTGTTTTTTCTTTGGGGATGGGGTCTCATTTTAGCTCTGATTTGTCTAGAACTTGCTACATAGAGCAGGCTCCTCTTAAACTTGCTGTCAACCTTCTGCCTGTCTTCCCCCATTGTTGGGATTTGGGGGGTGAGCCACTACATTCAGTATATTATTTTCTAATAATAGCTTCACTGGCGTTTGTCATGCATATGAAAACATCAACTCTTTTTCTCAAAGCAGAAATTAGTAAGGAAATGAAAGAGTGGTAGAAAGAACTGGGAACGTTCAGATGGGTCCCCCAGGGCCTAGGGCAGCAAGACTTCCACATCGCCAAGGACACGAAGAAGCTATCCGCCTGCTTAAGCCTCCAGCTTCATAGTGTCATTTCATCGGGTCCAGATGATGGATGGTGTGAGCGCTGGCCACCCAGGACACAGCGTGCTTGGCAAGCTCCTGAGAGTTGTCAAGTCTGGCTGGGATCTAATCAGAGAAGCCTCTTCCAGCCCAGAAGCCAGGACCATAAAAGGCAAATAGGGTCTCAGCTATGCTCAGTATCCTGCTGGAGTAAGGAGCTGTTTTCCTTGGAATGAATTGCCGTTTCCCTCACACCAGGGATCTCACAGCTCCTCCACCTCAGCCCTTGCCTTCGAGCCTGGTGAGAAGTCTGGGGCACACATGGAAGTTCTACTTTGGGGGAAGTGGAGATTAAAAACAGTTTACATCATAAGCTGTTCTGCAGAGATCCTGGGGCTACGATTTCACTAGTTTCCTAAAGTAATACAAATGCCATCACCACTGCTCTGCCCCCAGGCCTTAGCAGAGTGTTTGGCACAGGATAGGCAGAACTACCGAATCAGTCCATGGGTGTCCAGAGCAAGGACTTGTTCACTATATATAATAATATTCCAAAAACCTAGAAGAGCTGATTTGAAAGTGTCAGTTGAAGGATGTGCTGTTTGAATTATTGAACCTAATTTGAACATACCAAGTATCCGATATCACACACACACACACTTTACCCCACAAGTGTGTGTCGTTTTTGTGTTCGTGTGTCAGTTTAGAAAAAAATCAAAAAAAAATGTCCTTAGAAAAGGAGGCAGGCAGTGTCCCAGTACTCACGTACTTTAGCATGGACGCTACTTCTTTGGGAAAAGTCTTATTGGAAAGCTGTTACTAGAACACTGAATTCCGTGTTACTACTAGAACACAGTTTATTAACAGGTTTCTTACTTTTGCTCGGGTTAAAAAAAAAAAGTGTCTTTTCAAAGGAAAGTAATTCAGTATCTCCCAGAATTAACGAAGTCTATCCTAAGGCAGAGATGGAACCTTCACCATCAGGGCTCCTTCTGCTCTGTAGATTCCAGGTTGGCAAAATCACCCTGGCAATGTCCTCCTAATAAAATCAACAATTATAAGGTGGCAAACTCAATAGCGCCCTTAAGGGACAAACAGGGCTTCTAAATATTTGCAGGCATTTTATTTGAATTAATTCAATGTGTGCACCCATGTCTATCCATCTTTGTCCACAAAACTCATAATATATTAATGGGTTCTTAAGGAATCTTTGAAAGTACCTGGTGTGTGTAATTGGGTAGATTTGGTGACCACTCCGTCATGCTAGGAAGAGAAACAAACCATTTGCTCCACCTTACAGCTCTCTTATTCACCCAGCCCTGGGCTTCTGCTTCTCCATTCATTTTCAAGGTGTGAAGAGGACATTGATGAGTGTGCTTCTGCTCCCTGCCTCCACGGAGGCCTGTGCAGGGACTTGCTCAACAGATTCCAGTGCATCTGTGACGTGGCCTTCGCCGGTGAGCGCTGCGAACTGGATGTAAGCGGCCTTTCCTTTTATGTGTCCCTCTTACTGTGGCAAAACCTCTTTCAGCTCCTGTCCTACCTCATTCTGCACATGAACGACGAGCCAGTCGTAGAGTGGGGTGCTCAGGAAAATCATTAGCGTGTACGCAAGCATCCCCGGGGGTTAAAACACTGACTCACAAGAAATGCTGTCTCAGTGTAGGTTTCTGGGAAATGAGGGACTAGAACCCATCTTGAGGATGAAACTGCATATAAGCCTTTTTTTTTTAAAGCACACCGCAGGCATTCTAGGTCTTTATAAAATATTTTCCTATTCTACTTTTTAAAATGAAAATTGTGCTCTTAATATAGCCAGACATATCTCATTATCCAGTGTACTGAGTCCTAAGGCCCTGTCATACTAAACACATCCCTGTTGAATGGCTTTTATTGCAATTAGAAAACCTTCTCTGTACACTCTACTTTTGTGTGTCCCTATTTTCCTGGCTACAGTTTACCTCGTTCTAATTTGGTGTGTGCTCTTCCCTCTTATCGGTTATATGTAACATGAAAATTTGAAAGTATCTATGAACATTTTATAGTCATGTGCATCTTTATGCAGAGCTATTCTAATGAACTGTGGACAGTTTTTTTTCTACATGAAGAAGAGGGGAGGTTTCTTTCCCCAATAATGTGGGGGAAATGGTCACACTGCCCTTCACTAACATAGACTTTTCTCTATTTCCTTCCCTTGAAATTCCCCCTTTCTGTTACAACTGAAAACTTTCTGTTAGCCGCTGATACATTTGTGGGGGTTTTGACTTTTCCATCATGTTTTCCCTGGCTGATTATTTATGCTAAACATCTTTGGAGGTGCGTCATTCCAAAGGAGATGATAGTATTGCTCATTGAGGGGGAACTACTTTGACCCAGGCAAGAAACTCATGACACCACTGAAATAGCAGTGGCCGGCAGGATGCCCTTCTGCCAGTGTGCCTTGGTTTGAAAGCATTTGGGGGACTTTTCCTCTTAATACTATCAGTGCTCACTGAGTCGTGTTACGATTATTTGAAGGAAGTCCTTTGGCTGTGGAAATACCAAGGAGAATCTTAATGCACTGGAAAATAACAAGACAGTGTCCTCTGAAAGTAAAGAAACTACGTTCTTGTTCCATTGTTCACTAGCTATAAGGTAGCAGCCCTCACCCTGCGGCAATCGTCTCAAACTAGGAGAAAAGTTGAAGTCTTTTATCCATTCTCATCATTTTCCTCATGGCTAAGTCTCTGTGTCCGTAACTCTGCTTCAGACAGCCCCCTGCCAAGTGAGATTTTGTGACGAGGAAGTTAGGCAAACTTTTCCAAAAAGCATTTGCATTCCTAAGTAGCTGCAATAAGTATTCAGTAGATTATAGTCAGAGACCTTATGTAGAGTTCACGTTCACTCCCCAACACATATCTTCAAGTGTGTGCTTACAGACCATTCAGAATGTGATCTCTTCCTTAGAGAATATAGGTAAGGAGTATTTATCCACAATGTCTTTCTCTGTACAGTTCTAACGCTTCCGTTGTCACTGTGATTGTCGATTGTTCTATTTTCCAACTGTCTTATCATTTGATAGCTTTTTACTAAATTCTCTCTATTATCCTTGTTTCTCTGTAGTTCACTATGCTTGTGTGACTTACGATTTCACACATTTTCACAGAAAAATAAAGTTTTCTTCTGCATGTTCTATTTGTGATTTCTGGTGGCACACGTCTTTGTTGGCTTGGACTGTGGGTTACACAGTAAGAGATCCACACGCAGACACACTCACACAGGCACACAGACACACAAACAGAGACACGCACAGACATATGCACAAACACAGACACACAGAGACGCGTATACAGAGACACACCAGGAACACATACGAATACTCGTCTCTTTATTACTCTTCCCGCATACATTGTCATTGCAAGTAAACACCTTGATACCAAGGGCCAGGTTCCATAGACTCTCCCTATCAGCAAGGGATTCTAGAACACAGTACAACCTCACTGGTTCTTACAGTTGCCCTACATTGTTTCTGACTATATCCTCACTGGTTCTTACAGTTGACTTACATTGTTTCTGACTACACCCTCACTGGTTCTTACAGCTGACTTACAGTGTTTCTGACTACAGCCTCACTGGTTCTTATAGTTGCCTTACATTGTTTCTGACTACAGCCTCACTGGTTCTTACAGTTGACTTACATAAGCTGGTCTTAGTTTTACCTGGTCATGAGGAAGGATCATCTCACCTAAGGAACAAAAATTCAGACACTTGGTTATTCACATATTCACACATGTTCTTGTGGATCATATTTCCATGACAGATTGCATTTACTTGAATAGAAACTCATTTTTCTGATGTTTCATCTTTAACATGTGCCCCACTCGATTGTGATGGGCATTGACCGTCTTCCTCCTTTGTGAATGTATAAACGGGTAGTGGACTTAACTGCCTCTTTCCAATGAAGAAAAGAGAAGTAGAGAAAACAGGAACTTAGAGAAATGCCATGTTTTGATTGTAAAGAGAAAAATAAATTCAAGTAGTTTTGGTTCAGAAATCTGGGTCAGGACTGTGAAAAGCCATTTTTAACTACATCATTTTTTTCTCAACTACACTTTTTCAATACTGCATCAATAAAAGTCTTTTCCATTCCAAATTGTTCACTAAATTTTGTTGGAAAATCACTGACATAGAAGTCGTTTTAATATTTCAAAATTAAAGCTCTTCTGGAAGTAGTACAACATACAATTTGAATTTAATAATTTACAGAGGAATTCTGTTTCAATTGTTAATGTCAATTCCAATACATATTGTTTTCTTGCACTTCATAACCTTTCTACCTACTTAATAAATGATTTTGAATATTTATGATATGGTAATCCTAGGCCAATAGTGAGGCAGGAAGTGGTTAGGCAGGACTTCTAGGGACAGAGAGGACTCTGGGAAGCAGAAAGGTAGAGACACTAACAAGATATAGAGGAAGTAAGACATACAGAATGAAAGGTAAAAAGCCACATTTCAAAATGTAGATTATTAGAATCAGGTTAATTTAAGTGTTAAGAGCTGATGGGACAAGCCTAAGACTGAGCTTTCATAATTAATAATCAGTCTCTGTGTTGATGTTTGGAGATCGGCAATCTACAGATAGTCTTACAAGAAAGCTTGTTACAAACACCACTTCACAGCTCCCAGTGGTTACCATTGAAGTAAGTTTGTTGTATATCAAAGCAGAGAAAAGAAATAATACATAGGGTCATCATTTATAGGAAGATTTCAAATCAGCGTAAGCAAAAATGAGTCAACATTAGAGCTCTTCAGCAATGTTCCAAATTGATTTGCACCAAAGTGAACTCGCACTCTAGAAACCTCCAAATCGAATGTGAGTAACAGTGCCAGGAGTCTTGTCAAAAAAACTGTGCACCAACTTGGAGGAGCTACATAGACGTGGCGGGCTTATAAGCACTGACCATAAACCAATTCAGCATAATTAATGTGGCTACGCCTCAAAAATCTGTTAAGGTTGTGTTGTGTGTTACTTACAATAGCAGAATGATGGCGTTGAATGAGAAGAGAAATTTTTGCTCAACTAAAAGTTGAGGGAATGTGTAGATTGCCAGGCCAAATAGCTGACCTAAATCACCTGGCACTTAAGAAAAAAGGTAGGATTGAGAAAGATACATTTGTGAATTTCGGATCATTAACATTGGATCATGCAATAGTGAGGAAATGTTTGACAACGCAGAATCTCCTCAAGAATGTATTTTTAGGTACACTGATTTATTGTGCTGGTTCTTTGAAATCAAAACCCTTCAACTCTGTGCCATTTAGACCTCCAAGGCACTTTTATTCAGAGAAAAACCAGCTAAGCTTCATACGCACACAGGAGGTCTGCATTACCTCACAATCTTTCATTTTCAGGCCGGAGTGGTGGAACAAGAACATGCAGCCAGGAAAGGATAGAGCCATTGGGAAAGTTTGTTTGGATGTTCTTTCTCTTTTTCTTTCTTAAATCATTCGGTAAAATAATGCTGTTAGAAAGATATTTCGTTGTAAATTGCAGGAGAGTTCCTGTTGGAAGATTAAGTTAATACTCATTCAACCTTTATTGAAATACATATCATATTATAAATATATTACAGGATCATTTTATATGGCTCAGTCCGCTGTATGATACATGTCTGATATCTGCCAAGATGCTGCTTCTCCTGGGTTTTAAGTTACTATAGTAAAACAATGTATTAAAGCATTTAAAGGGATTTTAGCAACCATAAAATCCAACTCTTCTTTATGGAAAAAAGCAAATATATAATAATGTAGAGGGAGTGCCTGAATTAAGTTCTAAAATATTAAATCTCAGGGCTCAGAGACAGCACAGTAGTTAAAAAAAAACTTGTTCCACTTTCAGAAGGCAGTTCAGCCCTGTTACCTATATCTGGTGGCTCACAGCTGTAACTATAACTCCAAGGTGGCCTCCGCCAGCATCTCCACATGTGAGCATATGCATGTGAGCATACACGCACCACACCACACACACACACACACACACACACACACACACACACACATACACACACATCTTTAAAACATCAGGTCTCCCAACCTGCCATCCAGTACTCTTTCCTTCCATACACTGACAGGCAGGTGCAAATGAGGTTCTCCCAGTAGCTTAGAACACTGCATCACCTCTGCAGATGAAATTAATTTTAAAGAATAAAAATAAAGTCCATTCAACACTGGACTGAAAATATAGTCATTCTAAGGATGTTAAAACATCTTGAAGACAGATGCCATGAAAATACCAATCATTATATTTAATGTTTTCGGAGGGCAATTTTTAATTATATTTATGTACAGAAAACTTAGCAGTGTACATTTAACCCACTTTTGTAGCAAGTTCTTTGACCTTTTCCAACTTGGCAATGCAAGCCACAGATTTAGGACCGAGAATGCTGCCTTCCCAGTGGGGGCGGATCTCATCGTATCTGTGGTGATTGGTCCTGA